ATATATATATACACACACACACAACTAATTTTCTTGCCATGTGCAAGGAAAATCAAAATTACTTTATAAAAATGTCCAAAACTAAAAGCACTTTTTGAGCTAAGTCCGTCGACATCTTGAGTCCAAGGTCCAACTTTTGCAATTTGCATGATGAAGTTCGTGTGCAGTATCTTAATCAAGAAGGAATTATCTTGCAATATTTTTATATTAGTAGGAAAGAGAATGAGTGGAATATATATGGAGCTTAATTATTCTATTTCTAATTCTCTGTAAATGAAAAGTCATGTTAATTTATTTTTTTAACAGGTAAAATATTTTTAGATCAATTTTTATATATTTAAAAAAATTAATATTTTTTAAATAGTTTTAAAGTTGTATTCTCACTTTACCGTACCTTAAGGGTTGGAAACGTCATGCTTTACGTAGTCAGCAATTAATCAATCTAGCTAGTTAGAACAGCACCAATTATTTGAATTTTTTTTTTTTTTTTTTTACACCGAAAGGAATAGTAAAAATTACGGAAAGTATTTTCCAGTCCCTCCTTGTTATTGCCATAAAATAGATAGGTCCGACGGATCGAGTATATTCTCTCTCCCATGGGGACAAACAGTTTTTCCCTTGATGTAATGGAATGACTCGTTAAAAGAAGGAAAAGGGGGGCACAAGATGATTCCCAAAGTACACCAACTAGCTAGTGGTGAGCATTGGGGTGCTAATCCAATCTATGATTAGCATTGCCAAAATAGGAGAGATAGCCAGATGTGAGGACTAGGATCAGTCAATGTATAATCCTAGAAGGCTAAACTTGAGCACCATGTGAGATGTTGGGTCCACTACAATTTATCTTTGATGGAATTGAGGATCAAGTTAGATCATATCAAGTTAAATTATATTAAGTTCGGTATTATGTGACTTAGTGATTATCTTTTTTGTAAAAATGTGTTTGGATGTGAAAGTTTTGAAATCTATTTTCAGGCACTACTCTTCTTATCCTCAACAATTCTCTTAAAGTAAAAAAAAAAAAAAAATCGACTTTAATCTCAGGGACATGTTGACACTTATTAATTTTAGTCAAAACCGACTTGTGAGTTGTGATCATCCTTAATTACTTTAAATGAGTCGAGTTTAAAGGGAAAGCAGAGGGGCTAGAGTCTGCTTTTAGTGATTGGGTTCGGTTTCCTATTTATGTATGGAAAAGTTAAATAGTTGATGTATCTTGAGATTAATATTGGTAGGTAAACTTAAGTATATATGGAATAGGATAAGGCATCTCTCTTATACTTTCATTGATAAAGTGAAGTCGAGTTCAATATCAATCGTTTGAATCATATATATTATGGCTACCTAATACCGCATTGGATTATTTGCTCTCTCCTTTTTATTTTTATTTTTTTTGGCATTCTTAATTATTTGCTCGATCTCCTTTTTATTTCTCCTGGAACCTATTTTTGAGATTCCTTGGGAGGATAGTAATATTTTGAGAAAGATACTGTGATGTCTCAAT